AGCTAGAAGAGAACCTAGAGAGGTGGAGGTTTGCACTAGAAAGAAGAGGAATGAAGGTCAGTCGTAGCAAGACAGAGTATGTGTAACAGAATGTGTGTAAATGAAAGGGAGAACAGTGAAATAGTGAGGCTATAAGGAGCAGAGGTGGTGAAGGTGCAGGAGTTTAGGTACTTAGGATCAACTGTTCAGAGCAGAGGAGACTGTGGAAGAGAGGTGAAGAATAGAGTACAGGCAGGATGGAACAGCTGGAGAAAAGTGTCAGGAGTGATCTGTGACAGAAGAGTGTCAGCTAAGGTGAAGGGAAAGGTTTACAGGACGGTGGTGAGACCAGCCATGATGTATGGTTTAGAGACAGTAGCAATAGACAGAAGACAGGAGGTGGAGCTGGAGGTGACAGAGTTAAAGATGCTAAGATTCTCTTAAGGAGTGACAAGAATGGACAGGATCAGGAATGAGGTCATTAGAGGGACAACACAGACAGGAAGGTTTGGAGAAAAAGCTAGAGAAGCCAGATTGAGATGGTTTGGACATGTGCAGAGGAGGGACAGTGGATACATTGGTAGAAGAATGTTAGAGATGGAGCTAACACAGTAGGAGACAAAGAGGAAGGCCAAAGAGGAGATATATGGATTCAGTGAGGGAGGACATGCAGATAGTTGGAGTCAGAGTAGAAGATACAGAGAACAGGGAGAGATGGAAATCAATGATTCACTGTGGCAACCCCTGAAAAAAAGGGACAACGCCGAAAGAAAAAGAAGTCATTAATCAGAGACATTTTTTTCTTTTTGGCATGCCTAATTAGTTTAACTAAATTAAGATAGTTTAATTTCCTTTTCTCTCAAATAATGACATATTATTATAAATATTAGTAAAACGACGTGTTTTCACAATTGTTTTATAAAATGAATAAAAATGCATGACATGGTAATGACTGCATGTCTTGGCTACTTTACCACTGCCTTTGGAAAACAGTGCAGTTATACTGCTAATTCCTGACGATTCTGTGCATATGCATGCCACCTGGTTTATGCCTGTCATTTAGTAATCTAGTAATCTGTAATATGCTTCTTTATTCTTGTAATATGTAATCAAGTAATCTGTAATTTGACTCTTTATTCTAGTAATATTTATTATACTTTTTTAATCAGGTAATCTGTAATCAGGTTATCTGTAATATACTTCTTAATCTGGTAATCTGTAATACACTTCTTAATCTATTAATCTGTAATTTGCCTCTTTAATCTGGTAATCTGTAATCTAGTTATCTGTAATATACTTCTTAATCTAGTAATCTGTAATTTTCCTCTTTAATCTGGTGATCTGTAATGTAGTAATATGTAAAATATGTCTTAATCTAGTAATCTCTACTATACTTCCTAATCTAGTAATCTGTAATATACTTATTTAATCTAGTAAAATATAATCTAGTAAATTGTAACATACTTCTTTTAATCTTGTAATCTAGTAATCTGTAATATACCGTTTTAATAATCTGTAATCTAGTACATCCTTAATGTACTTCTTCAATCAAGTAGTCTGTAATCTAGTCATCAGTAATATACGTATTTAATCTAGTAATCTATAATCTAGTTATCTGTGGATGTAATCTGCAATCTAATAATCTATAACATACTTTTAATGTCGTAATCTTTAATCTATAACCTAGTAATCTGTGTTCTGCATGTAGCTGCAGAACTAGGTGGGTTCTGGGTATTTTTATTTTATTTTACTAATTCCTAATCTGTTAATTAAGTAAACAGATTATTAGTAAATAATCAGGTGTAGATGTCAACATTCCATCAAAATATTTGTTTTGAATTGCGTTTTACTCCTTTTTTGGTAGTATTACATGTCATTTGAAAAACACACTGTTGAGACACTGCTTTGTGGAAACTTTTCTGAGTCACCTCTGTACGTCTGACAGACGAACATGGTGTTGTTGTCCCACTTCAAGAGAATTGTTGTATGAGTAGTCGATGGATGACAATACTACAAGTTTTGGGGTTTTTTTTTTTTTTTTTTGTTTGTTTTGTTTGATTTGTTTCACTCTTAGGTTTAGTTTGTCTGATCCCTGATGTCATTTGGGTTTTATTCCTGTTTTGTCACTAACTGTCGTCACTCCTTTCACCTTTGTGTGAATTTGACCTAACTGCATCATGAACTTGTTTGAACTTATCTGTGTTTTATCACAGTGAATCATTATTAACGTTTGGACAGCTTTAAAGCAGTAGTTTCAGTCCTGTATAACATGGCTTTTAAATATGTATTAATCAAAGACTCTTTATAAGAAATGGACTCTGATCGTTGGCTGCACCAAAATGTGCAGAAAATGGAATTGCTCTAAATGGGATTGTAAAATAAAAACGTACATGGCCGGCATAGTGTTCTAATGAGAAGACCTGAAATGTATTAAATTAACACGATATACGTCAACTAATATTTTACAACAGTGATCATCAACTTGTGGCCCGCAGGCCAATTCAAGCCTACCAGACCGTCCAATTCGGCCACAGCTGGATTCCAAAATTGTGAAAATATCATGTGGTCCCCACGATTAAAGCAACTGAAAAACAACAACAATAACTGAGTCCTGAATAACTTTCAGTATCACAACCATCAAATAACTACGTTACTCCAATTTTTTATTTTTAAAATATAAAAAATTGTTTATTTGTTTATTTTTAAAAATATATTTTTTACATATACAGGGAGTGCAGAATTATTAGGCAAGTTGTATTTTTGAGGATTCATTTTATTATTGAACAACAACCATGTTCTTAATGAACCCAAAAGACTCATTAATATCAAAGCTGAATATTTTTGGGAGTTGGAGTGGGGCCTTTTTAGTTTTAGCTATTTTAGGAGGATATCTGTGTGTGTAGGTGACTATTACTGTGCATAATTATTAGGCAGCTTAACCAAAAACAAATATATACCCATTTCAATTATTTATTTTCACCAGGGAAACCAATATAACAGCTCAACATTCACAAATATACATTTCTGACATTCAAAAACAAATCAGTGACCAATATAGCCACCTTTCTTTGCAAGGACACTCAAAAGCCTGCCATCCATGGATTCTGTCAGTGTTTTGATCTGTTCACGATCAACATTGCGTGCAGCAGCAACCACAGCCTCCCAGACACTGTTCAGAGAGGTGTACTGTTTTCCCTCCTTGTAAATCTCACATTTGATGAGGGACCACAGGTTCTCTATGGGGTTCAGATCAGGTGAACAAGGAGGCCATGTCATTAGTTTTTCTTCTTTTAGGCCCTTTCTTGCCAGCCACGCTGTGGAGTACTTGGATGTGTGTGATGAAGCATTGTCCTGCATGAAAATCATGTTTTTCTTGAAGGATGCGGACTTCTTCCTGTACCACTGCTTGAAGAAGGTGTCTTCCAGAAACTGGCAGTAGGACTGGGA